TATGCCCAGCTGGACATTACTATTTTGTCAGAAGTATTTTTCAAATGTTTTCTTCAACTCTGTAGGTTGCTTCATCCCTCTGTTATTTCCTTTGCCAGTATAAATAGTGGGATTTTAACCCAGCCTGTTCCCTGTTCTCCAGCCCATGTAGACTGGATGTTGGTTTTTCCAGATTTTTCCTCAATCTCCTCCTCTTGTTCCTTCCCACAGATCCATCTCAGGACAGCCAAACTCCAGCAGTTCTCCCTGGGGTTATAAAAAGGTCCTCCCACACGTTCTCGGATATAGTCCTGGCTGTGTCTCCTCCCTTGCTCTTTCTGTCTCCGTCTCCCCCACCTATTTGGGGTCTCTCCACATGCAGGCTTTCTCCCTTTGTGCACACCCAGGCAGGGAGCCTGCACCTGGCCAGCCCTTCTCCATGTCCGTAACTGCAGGTCCGTCTTCCCTGTTAGCCCCTGAACTCCACGGGAGAAAAGGAGGCTGACTACCCACTGTCCTCTCCCCAGCACCTAGGAGCCCCTCACAGAGTTGTCACCTTTTTCTGTTGTTGTTTTGTGTTTTTGAGGCAGGACCTCGCTATGCAGTTCAGGCTGGCCTTGAGCTCGCTTTGTAGCCCAGGCTGGTCTCAAACTCCCAACAATCCTCCTGCTTCAGCCTCCCAAGTGCTGGGATTACAGGCGTGCGCCACCACGCCGGTTTTAGTAACCTTTTTGATACCACTCCCTCTGCCTGAAGTGCTGGTCTCTGTTGGTGGATGTGGTAGATTACCCAACAGGCAACCTGTAAAACCCAGCTGAACTGAATCAGCGTGGTGCTGGGTGTGTAAGGCCCACCTGAGGATTACTGCCAACAGCATAAAAGTAGAACTAGAGGGGCAGATAGTGCACTGTTGAGTCTTCCAGAGAAGCTTGTCACACTGGTTTTCCTGATATGAACTCAGCTGTTGTTATTGGAGGAGCTTGGGTCCTTGCTGCCACTGAGGATGGCTGCGATTCTCTTTGGGAGAGCTCTGGTCCTCACCTGAGTGTCACTTCCTGGCTCCAGTGCAGATCCCTCAGCCTGCTGGCACAGATCCTTCACCCATTGGCACAGACTTTCTAGCTTCCACCGCTGACCTTTGGGCCTTCCCAGTGCAGATCCTTGATGCAGACTTGATGAGACATTGTCACGGGCTGTAGACCTCCAGCTGGACGTGCAGAGAACATTGCCATGGGCTCTAAGTCTTCAGCTTGACTTGTGTAGGATATTGCTCTGGGATCCAGGCCCTTGGCTGGATTCTTTTGGTCTCTAGTACATGGACAGATCTCTTCCACTCTTCTGCATTTGACTTTTTGGGTCATTATAAAAAATCCTATAAATTATGTGTCCTGTATTAAATCTATTCGCTTGTGGGGCTGGAGATTTAGCTCAGTGGCACAGCGCCTGCCTGGCAAGCGCAAGGTCATGAGTTCGATTCCTGGTACCAGGAAAAAAACCCAACCCCCTCACCCCCAAAAAATTTTTTTAAAAAATCTATTCCCTTGCAATCCCTGACTACAACAGTGGAAATCTTTTCCAATCTTTAAATAAAACCTTTCCAAAAAAGCAACTTCTACCTCTATCTGAAAAGATTTCACAGGCCCCTGAAACCTGATTTGCATACCTGCCTTCCACCTTGCCTCAGGGTCAAGGCAGCTGGCTTTCTCCAGGACCCCTAGAGGCAATTGAATAGTCCAGAGCAGAAATCCCAGTGTGTTTTATCACCTCGTGTCAGAAATAATATGCCAGGCAGTGGTGATGGTGCATGCCTGTAATGCCAGAACTTTGGCAGGCTGAGTTAGGAGGATCACAAGTTCAAGTCCAGCATGGACAACTTAGCAACTTAGTGAGACTTTGTCTCAAAATAAAAAAATTAAAAAGGAGCTGGTGATATAACCCACTGTGAAGTCTCTAGGTTCAATCCACATTACTGCCAAAGACCAAAAACAAAGTCAAGTGTCCTTTGTTCTGCCATACTCATTGAAAATACTCAGATTCAGTGTGGAAGATTTTACACTGCCATGACTCCCAGGAAGCCAAGATCATTAGAGAAGACTGTGGAGGCTGGCTGCCACACTTTGTCGTCCTGCAGGGGAACTACCTAGGATTAACAGGAACCTCTAGCAATGCAGGCACTGGGATACCTGTTAGCTGGAGAATTCCAAGGAAGAAAGCAGTAATGAATAAAAGGATAAAAGGAATAACTCCCCAGATTCATCTCTCTTCTCCTCTTGCAATCTTGACTTTCAAACACTAAGTTGTGTGACAGAGATAGTGCACAGAGCCATGACCATCTAAGAGACTCAGAGAAGGTCTCCCAGAGGAAGTAGCATTTAAGCCGAGAGCTGAATCATGAGAGGAATGTACCTCTGTGAATTGGAAAGGAAGAAGTTTCAAACTGAAAGAAGGCTAGGGGTGTAGCTCAGTGGTACAGCACTTGTCTAGCATGTATGTATGAGATCCTGGTTTCCATCCCTAGCACTGCAAACAAAATACTAAACGAACAACATAAGCAAAGCAAAACCAAAAAAACATAAAACAAAAACCCCCAAAACAAAAAACAAAAACAAAACAAAACCAAGAAAGACAGAAAACTCAGTGAGTTCTGAAGAGCCATAAGAAATTGAATCTGACTAAAGTTAACAGGATGAAAGGGACAAAGTAAAGTGGGAGAAACTTTTTTTCTCTCACAGAAAGTTCTAATAAGACTTGCAATAATAGAATTTTCTTTAACTACACTGCACAGTACAGAACCACACGCCACGCATAGCTACTGAGGACTAGAAACATGGTTTAGCGTGACAGAGGAGATGGATTTTACTGAAGAACTCAGGAGCTGAATTTTAAATTTCATTAATCTTAATTAAGTTTAAGTATCTGCACTTCATTGGTTGCAACTGTATTGTGCAGCACAGCAAGTCTTTGCCTGAACAGTGAAGACACAGAAGGCAAGGCTATACTTTGCTATGCAGGCAGTGCGTAGCACGCACTTCGAACCAAAAGAAGCCACAACGAACCAACTCCAGTGCACGACAAGTGCTAGCCAAGGGCTTGATACTCCACTGCCTCTCCCCGCAAGGCTATTTGTAATTGAGCTGGACACGGCGCAGAGACAGTCTGAAGACACAGGGGACTGGTTCTCAGATGGCAAAATTCGAGAGAAGTACATCTACCAACTAGGATCGGGGCCAAGGCGACTAGCTTTTAGGAGAGTAACAGTGTAGTGGCTTTGTCCAAGCTCGCCCCGATTTTAGTAAGTCAAGCAACAGGCTTCTTAACTCCCTCGCTCCCTTGGTTCCATGACTTTGAGGTAGGTTTTGGGAAGAGAAGGTGAAACAACCGAGCGCCTCCTAAAAGCTCACCAGAAAGTATAAAAATGTGCGAACATTCACAGGATTCTGTGAAAAAAAAAAAAAAAATAAAAGTGCGAACACCGGTTGGGAACCGGAGGTTTTGGGTTCTGGGTTCTACTACTGCCTTGTCTGCTACCGTCTTGTCTCAGCTGTCCCAGTTTCCTGCTTTCTGGACAGTCACGTAATGAAATAATAATCACCAGGATAATAAAAACAGCAGCTGTGTTAACTTAGTGCCTTCAAATTCCAGGCACCGGGCTGGGGATTTAGCTCAGTGGCAAAGCTCCTGCCTGGCAAGCGCAAGGTCGTGAGTTCAATTCCTGGTACCGGAAGAAAAACAAAACCAAAAAACCCCCAATTCCAGGCACTGTACTAGGTATTTGTATCCACCACTACAACTCAGTCCTCTGGGCTGTTCCTTACAATCTCCGTTTCATAAATAAGAAAAATGAGGCTCCATGAATTTGGGTAAACTCATCAAGGTCACTCAGGGAGAAGTTGCGTTGGGATTTGAATCTGATTACAAGCCCTTGGCTCGGGATCCCCGCGCAGTACGCTTCTCTCCACGGGCGGCCAGCGGCGAAGGCGGGGTTCAGGCGGGGAGCGTCGGATGAGTAATACCGAGTGGTGTTTTCAACGCGTACTATGAACGCCGTGTTTACACACGTCACGGGGCTCCCACAGCCGCCGTCCAGACTGGAAAACGAGGCTCAGAGCGGCGAAGTGATTAGCTCGAGCTCACACAGCTAACGGCACGCACGGCTTCGACGCCGAAGAGCGCACCGCGGCGCTTCAGCCCCGCCGTTCCGCACGCAGGCAGGTGGGGGCTGCTCTACGCGGCTCCGCCCACGCGCCGGGCCACGCCCCCTCCGCGCACGCGCTCTGGGCCGGGCTGGGCGGCGGGCGCGAGGACGGCGGCGGGGAGCGTGCGCGCTGTGACGTGCCGGGCGCCATGTTGGAGGGCTGGTGGTAGCGGCTCGGGGAGGTGTTCGCTCTCTCGGTCTCGCTCTGTCGCTCGCTTCCCCCGACTCCCTTCGGGGCCCCCCCCGGTCGCCTGCGTGCCGGAGTGTGTGCGAGGGAGGGGGAGGGCGTCGGGGGGGTGGGGGGAGGCGCTCCGTGCCCGGGAGAGCCGCGGAGGGGAGGCGGAGGCTGCGAGGGACTCCGGGAAGCCATGGACGTCGAGAGGCTGCAGGAGGCGCTGAAAGGTGGGGGAAGCCGCCCGCGCTCCCTTCCTCCTC